AGGAGCAGCAGGACAGGCTGTGCGTGTTTAGACAAGAAGGGGGGGGGCGGGGGGGGAGCATCTCCCTTTAGGCAAGAAACGTAGCAAGAAAGCAGGTTTTTATTCCTTGCCCTTGAGCAACATGATGGGTGGGGCAACTTTAACAATTCTCCAAAGAAAGTCTGATATACTCGGGGCAAAACCCAGTGGTCCCACACACTTTCCACCCTGGCCAATTAGATTTCGTGACCGGCAACTGCGGCTTAAACTTTTAATACGGCAGGTATTTATTCCTAAAAGCAATGTGATGAAAATCACTTTGTTCCGACAATCCTGGTTTTTGTGTTGTGGTTTGTACTTTTACAACAGGCTTGAGATGGTGGTGTATTAGAGTCCTCCCCGAGGCAACATTCTCTCTTTTTCTTCTCTCTTTAAGTAGTAAGAGGATGACAAAACTGTATGTGCAGTTAACTACCAAGACTGAGAAGTCTAGGGAAACCTGGGAGGCTCAGTCGATGAAGCGTCTGCCTTCGACTCAGGTCATGATCCCGGGGTCCTGCTTAGCGGGGAGTCTGCTTCTCCCTCCCCCTGCTCTTGTTCTCTGTCTCCCTCTCAAATAAATAAATAAAATCTTAAAAAAAAAAAAGATTAGTAAGTCTAAGAACAAATAACAGTGTTAAAATCAAGTAAAACTCACTCCAGAGTTAATGAGACGTACCCAGTGATCCATCATCAACACTGCACTGAATGGTAATCAGGCATGATAGAGGTCAGATCACCAGAGGCCATGGGTGGGGAGGTGACCTTCCTGTCCCCAAACCCAGCACCTCCTGCTCTTCACCGCTCCCCCTCCCCCTTGCCAGTCCTCATAAGGTCTTTCCTGGTTCTAGCCCTCTCTAGTCCCCATCCTCCTCAACCCCCCAGCCAAGAGTTAGGGAACCTCATCGTGAGCCAGGCACATCACTAAGCTGCTAAGCCCCTTATACACGTTAACTCAGTTAACCTAGCAAGACAGCACTAAGCCCCCCACATGACAACCCTATGCAGTATTATTATCCCCCTTTCACGGATGAGCAGACTGAGGTAGACAGAAGTTCAGTAATTTGCCCAGCTAAGTGACACAGTTAGTTGAGAGCAGGGCTGGGATTCAAGGTCAGGCTCCAGGGTCCACACCCAGGTGCGTCTTACACCGTAGCTCTCAATTATACAGACCCCACCTGGCCTCACGCGGACCACTGTGGTGACTCCCAGGTTTGTTTTCTCGCCCCAGGGAGAATTTATCCAAGAGGGTGGGGACCACGGCTTTCTTGTCCTCATATTAATATAGACCATACTCAGTGGCCTACACATTTTTGTGCTTGGGTATCCTCTAAAAGAATCTGGAAAAACAATAAACCCTCTCCACGTCAGTCAGCGAAGGCTGCCATAACAAAACACCATAGACTGGGTGACTTAAACTATAGAAATTCATTTTCTGACAGTCCTGGTGGCTGGAAGTCTGGGATCGGGAGCCCAGCACAGTTCGGTGAGGGCTCTGTGCCTGGCTTGCCGACGGCTGCCTTCTCATTGTGTCCCCCAAGGCTCTCTTTCTCTTCTTTTAAGGGCACTAATCCCATCATGGGGGCCCCACCCTCACGACCTCATCTAAAGTACTTAATGATACTATTTCTCTGGACACAGACTTTGTGTATAAATTGAAATTTACACCTTTGTGTATAAATTGAAATTGTTATTTACAACTCAAAGTTAAAAAAAAATCCCTTCTGGGTTGAATTATTATCACAATTATTATTATAAGTGATCATTTATCATCAAACAACATATTGGTATATTTGGACAAGTTATTACTATTGCAAAAGCATCTTTACAAGATGGACTGGGGGCTGGGACACAGTGACTTGAAGAGAGAGGCTTCCCTGGCACAGTATTTCAATATTCACCCCAGAGACGTTTTCAGTTGGAACAGAGCACCCTAGTGAGATCCTGGCTCTGGTTATGTGGGAGAAGCCAAGCGTGCGAGACTAATCCAGCACCAGGCCCGCCCCACAGTAGGTTCTTGGGCAAATTGGCTTTAGGACAGAGCTCATGTTCTGGAAAATGATCGCCCTAAAATTACCTGTGTCTCAGGCCCCTTGGCAAATCTGCAAATCTCCCCAGGAGCACGGGTGCCCATCTGAAGGGTCCTGCCTTCCTTCAAACTGTTAAATGTGGGGGTTGGGGGAGGCTCTACCACCCACAAGATAAACCCAACATATCTACCTGGAATTCTTACAAGGAAGTCTGTGGGCTTCTCTGCTATCTGCTATCTTGAGTTTTATTGAAGTTTTAAAGCAAGAATTTGCTTCAGTCAAATACACATGGGTCCCGTTTCCAACCCACCCCTCCCACCCCCCCCACACCCCTACCTGGCACAGGCCCTCAGGTGAGATGGTGGGTGGTGGTGCAGAATCAGGGAGAGGAAGAGCGGATGGGTGGGAGACCAACACCTCCCAAAGGAGTGCCCTCTCAAATGCTCCCCCTCTTCATGGCTGCTCTGAAGACCCAGCCCTAAAAACGGGTTGCTCCTCTCGGAGCTCCAGGCAAGATTCCTTTCAATCTACTTACCCAAGTTTAAGTTCTCACGGGCTGGTAAATGCAGTGAGCTTATTTGCAAGCCAGGGTCATATCTGCCTAGCAACCCAACATGAAGACTAGAAGAGCTATAAACGTAGACAGAGAACAGGCCGGCCAACTTTGCACAAAGGAATCTGTTCTCATGCAAATGACCCGAAGCCAGAGGGCTAGAAAGAGAGAGCAGAGGGGATAGGCTCAGGAGCCAATTTATTTCCCCAGAAGATGTTGACGGACTTTTTAAGGGGCATCCTCACAGCCTTGCCCACTGTACATGAAGGACCCCAGGGTATCTGCTGTACTGAACTTACAGCACACACAACAGAAGAGGCTAAGGGGGAGCCGAACCCTGAACTTAATATCCTGATTTTTCTGGTTCTGTACTCCAGACTCCAAGGGTTCTTTTGTTCGGATTTAGAACTAAACAGAGTTAGTTTTGTTTGGGGGGGTTTTGATTAGCATGGTAATGCAGTGCTCTCCTTCTCTTTGCTTTCCCGGGAGGAGTGAAAAAAGCAGGGGTTTTCACGCTTGGTCTCACTAGGAAAGGGACCAAGGTGAAGCCAGCTTCTAACCAGGGCGAGCAAAAGTCACTGGCCTGTGGCTGGCAAGACTGGGCAGAGATTGGGTTTCCAACACCCCCTTCCCCAAATGCAGGTGGCAAATGTCATCTCTGGATGAACTTTAGTTACAAAAAGGGCCAGGGTGTGTCTATAAATGTTGTGAGACCTTGCGTGAAGCCCTCCAGGGCTCTGTGCATCAACTTTTCTCATCTGTAAAATGGGAGTAGTGTCAACTGCAGAATGTTACCGATGGGGTTAGATCACATGTAGGGATGGCATTTAATAGTGTTGGGAACAAAGCAAACATGCAAAAAATTAATAGTTCTAATTAATATTAATAAAATAATAGCGATTTAGTATTAGTATCATCATTACAGTTATGCCTCCCCAACAGCCAGGGCTTTCACTCCGGCCAAATACTCAGATGTGACTTTCTCAATCATTCATTCACACCTAGAGCTTTTGGCATGATTTGCCTAATGTTTTAAATCAAGAAGCCCAAGCACCAGGAACTTCCAGGACTTGATTAGAATCACTCAGTTATAGGGGCGCCTGGGTGGCTCAGTCGTTAAGCGTCTGCCTTCGGCTCAGGTCATGATCCCAGGGTCCTGGGATCGGGCCCCACGTGGAGCCCCACATGGAGCCCCACATCGGGCTCCCTGCTCAGTGGGAAGCCTGTTTCTCCCTCTCCCACTCCCCTGCTTGTGTTCCCTCTCTTGCTGTGTCTCTCTCTGTCAAATAAATACAATCCTAAAAAAAAAGAATCACTCAGTTATAAATAATGGGCTACACCCATAGGTTCCCAAGACCCAATACAGTAGATACTGTGCCATATTAAAGATGACAATTCCATAGTGAGCGCAATGGCAGGTCCTAATGCACTGTGAGATCCTAAATATCAAAGATTACACTTACAGTCAGTCCTGTTTTAGCACTGTTTTCATTTCAGTGATTAAAATCATTTTTTAAAAATCATCACGTGTGGTTTCTTCCAAGAACAACTCGAAAGAAAGGATCGCTTGTGGGGTGGGGGGATGCTGGAGTCAGCGATCGGTATGGTAAGCCATAAATAACAACAATAAGAGCTAATGGGCACCGAGGGCTCATCACAGGCAGTCATTTTGATCCGCACTTTTCAGGCATCATAAATGAGAGCCTTCAGTTCTGGGAATACAGATACTGACCCCATTTTACGGATTTGGAAATTGACGCTCCAAGAGGTTAAGTTACTTCCACAAGGTTGCACAGCTCATCAGTTGCCCCCTGGCCGTACAGAACTGGCCCGTAACAGAGCACTTTACGCGAGCACACCTGCTCCCCACCTAACCCACACCAGAGCCTGTAACCGCACAACGACATTTAACGCAGTAGACCCTATCGCCAAGTCGTGAGAGAAATCAGGCAGCGACTGCAAAGGGATTTTTACTAAAACTCAAACCGCCGACTCCTCCCGGTGGCGACCCCGCGTGAGCGCGCTCCCCAAGTAGGCTCTCATGAGTTTCTGACATCAGAACCACTTCCTCGAACCCCAGTGAGGGGAGCAACCCGTACCCAAGCCGACGGGGAAATGCAGAGAATAAGGTCTTTGCTTCCGAGCAGGTCTCAGATTGGCCCTGGGTAGGTGAGGTGGAGACCAGGAAGCCAAGTCTGCGCCCCCGCGGGCTCCGAAATGCCGGGGATACGACACACTGCTTTGTCCCCACGGCAAGCTCTTAACCGGTTTCCCGGGCATCATCCGCCGAGTTCGCAGTGACCTTGGGGTCGGGGACTTCGGGATGAGGGGCACGGACTCCCCAACCGTCCGGGTCCCTCCCGTCCTGGGGGCTCTCGGCGGATTAGGCAGCCACGCACCTGTGTGCACGTCGCCAACCGCCAGGGAGGGAGGATGCGCGCGCGCCCCGACCGGGGATGCTGACTCAGCCCGGCTGCTCACATCCCCTTCGTGCAACGCGGATGCTGTGGCTGCCGCCGCTGCTGCTGCAAAAGGGGGAAAGCAAGGCACTCGTAGCAGCCGGGCCACTCGCTGTCTAGGGCTCACTGCGGCAGTCCCTCCCCCGCGGCCCAACAAGGGGAACCAGGCGCGAGTTGACGAAATGGGGGGAAGTGGACGCTGGAGGAGGAACTCGGGGTTCGCGGCGCCGCGCGCGCAGCTCACACCCAAACTGGAAGGAACCTGTTCTGCCCGGGGCGGACGCGGAGCCGCCGCAGCCGCGAGCGCCGCGCGGGTTTAGCCCCGGCGCCCCCCTCCCC